TAACATGTTTATATCACTGATGTCAATATGATTTAAATTAAATATATAAATTTGCTATTTAAAAAAATTTGTTCCATCTGACCTATCTTTCTTTTTGTGCATTCTATTGGGTTGAATTTGTTTCTATTTCATTTTCTCTCTTCTGTTGGTTATTTACGTATTTAAATTTTTAAGTTCAGTTTTTAGTGACAGTTCTTGATACAGATTACAATGCGCACCTTTATGTGACAGACTACCTTCAAATAATAATAAACTCCTTCACAATACAGTTTAAGACCTTTAAGGTTACATATGCTTCAATTCTCCTCTCTTGTCTCTTTTGTTATTCATGTTTTACCAACACATAACATTTTGTTTTAAGCTTTTTTTAATTACATACTTTTAGATTATTGCCATTATATACATTATTTTATTCAAATTATTTTTACATTAAGCCAATGTCTATCATGTAGCCATCAAAAATCTCATATGAAATTACACAGGTTCTTAGCACTATTTAGATGTTAGCTTCTTTGAATCACTGGCTTTCTGACTGCCTTCAGGAAGACTTTCTGCAATACAAATTCATAAGTTTATCTCCTTTGGTGCAAACATTTTTCAGGTCTTGCTATCATCTAGATGAGTGCTCTCCAAAGGGCCTTCTATAAAATCTTGAACCTTAGTGTGGTGTTATTGGTAGGCGCTGTGGACCTGTAAGAGGTGGGGCTTAGTTGGAGGTACTTAGGTTAGCACAGCATGCCCTTGAAGGGGAATATGAGACCCCGGCATGTCTCCCCCACTTTTCTTTCTCTCCTTCTCCATCTCCCTCTCTGCTGCTTTCTGCTTTTGAGTTGTGACCATCTGCTCCTAACACATGTTCCTACTATGTGACCATTTGTTGCTCTCATTAGAAGCTAAAGCAATGGTGCCACCCAACTTTGGACTTCAAACTTCTAAATGTGTGAGTTAAGTAAACCTTTTAAAAAGGCAGTTGCCTCATGTACTTCATTGTGGTAACAAAAGCTAATAGTTTATTCTATTAAAGTCATCTGAAAGCTTCATGCTCCTAATTGTGTTTCATCACACTTTGTAATTATTTCTGCATGGATTTTCAATATCTAATCTTGCTTGCTCATTTGATATGTAAATAAATATTTTTCTGTTTACCAAGAGACAACAAAGCAGGATCTACTCTGGCTGTTTAGCCATGATCATTTTAGCACTATGTCAAGTATTATATCTTCCTATTTTAGTTAACTCCATCAAAGTTCTCTGAATCTATCAGCTGAAGTACTTTGAAAAAACCAATGTTCACCAATGGTATCAATTTTATCTGTACAAATGATACATAGCTGATGATCTCTGACATGAACATTTCTCTGAGCAAACTTTTATCAGTTTGTCTACAATAGATTATATCATTTAAGACATTAAAGTCCAGCTAGCTAACAACAGCTCTTGCCAGGATGTTTTTCCTGCACCTCATGGTCTGTATGATAGCCTTTTAGATGAAGTAAATATTCCTTCATGCTGGAATAATCTGAGATTTGTAGGAGGAAGTTCAGTCTATTAATTTCCTGATCTCTTCTGATAACCTCCAATTTCAGAGTAAGGAATATTTCCACTGTCCTCATGAGACATCCTACAAACCAGTAAATTTGGGCAAATATAAATGAAATGAACCTAAAGCAACTCTTGTAATCAGCCAGTTTACTTTAAAAAAATTTTATGGTACATTTTAGGTATACAATATAATGACATTCATCATTGGAAATTTGTATCTTTACGTAATCTATCTTGGTTCTTATTTTTTTCCCCATTCCCCTGCCCTCCCTTCAACCCCTCCACACCTCCCTATTTACAAAGACTTTGTTTCCATTTTCTCATATTAATTCCATTCCCTTCTTTCTTTTCCCCTCTTTCCTTTCCCCTACCCCTCCCAATTCCCCTTCCCCTTTGCCAGTTTACTTTTTAAAGCTGTCACTGGCAATGTACAACATATCTTACTGCATTTGTTATTTTAATAATTAACTTTTCTTCAGTGAATTTCTTAAGTATTTTACTCACAGTCTACTTGATACCTTGTAGGGTCTTCAAATTATTTTGAGACTTTGAACACCAATTGTTAAGTTCTTTTAGTTGCTATCTTGCTACCACCTTAAGCTGTTTAAGACAGCTGTTGATTTTGTTTTGTCCTGTTTTCGTATTTTTGAAACTCAGTATCTGTGGCTTGCCCTGAGGAGATGCCATCACTCACAGGAGATGCTGAGAATGGATATGGCTACTAGGGTGGAAGAAGAGGTAGAAAGGAGGGTACATTAGCACATATGAAGGTTAAGCAGATTAAATGTTTTAATCATTAATAGATATTTCAGTTATTCATTCTTAAAAATCAAGATGAAGTATTTAATTCTGCAAACTTTCTTTTTTTATGTTTTCTTTAAACAAAAATTGAGTGATTTTAAATATAACAAAGGACAAAAATAAATTTATTGTAATATACTAAAAATTTTGGATAGCCATAAAGGTTGTTACAGAAACCTTCAGCAAAACTGTTTCATACATTTATTTCAAATAGTCTTCCCTAGGTATGTTCATAAGTGAGTGCCTGGAGTGTTAGGTTTATCTTTCTCATTTTGTTTCCAATTTACTTTGGTATCTATGATTTCTGCAATCTCTAATGTTAATTTCAGTAAATAAATTCCAACTCACAATCATATATTTCATAGTACTATAAAATTCACTCTGAATTCACATATTCTCCAAGCAACTGAAGAACTCTCAACTTTTTCAGTGAAAATATTGCATTATATTTTTTAGTGAGAAACACCTCAACATTTTCATCTACATATATAACTGTTTGCTTAAGTAACAATACAAAAGAAAATAACTTCAGAATATTTATTACATCAAACTTTCAATTTCCTCGGACCGTGCAAAAGGTGCAATGAAGAAATTAGTATAACCTCAAACTGAGCATACATAAAACACACCATAAAGAATGGCTCTCCAGGGACGGAGATTTAGCTCAGTGGTTCCACTGCCTGCCTCCCAAGTGCAATGTCCCAAGTTCAATCCCTGGTACCAAAAAAAGAATGGCTCCCCAAATACAGAAATTTAGATATTTTCTAATATTTATTGCAAAATAAAATTGTTCAAATAAAACTTAAATACCAGAAGTTAAAATTGTGATAAAAATTTCATTTTAAAACATTATACTTGGGTTGTAAGAAAGCACTCTTCCACAGCAAACTAGTGTTACAAGCAGGCCAGGTAACTGGCACGAAGAAATGACTTATTTCCTAAACTAAGTACCCATGGATGTAGGGAATTATTTGTATAAAGGTTACATAACAAATACTGATATATGTACAGAATTACAGAATTCTAAGAAAGCTTTTTCACTTATTTCCAAAAAATATTAATTTGAAGAAACATTTGGCCTTAACTGATACAATAATTAATTGTTTCTTATATAGAACCAACAACATTAGTCACTTTCCCATCACTGGGAAAAACTACCCAACATCTGCAACTTAAAGGAGTAGAGGTTTATTTGACTCACAGTTTCAGAGGTTTCAGTCCATAGCTGGTTGGCTCCAAGGCAGAAATGGGTTGTTGGAGGAGCATGGCAGAGGAATGCTGCTCAACCTATGGCAGTCAGGAAGCAGAGAGGCCAGGAGCCAGCACAAGAATGCACCCTTCCAGGACACACTCCCAGTGACCCACCTATTCCTCTCAGGCCCTGCCTTCTAATTGTTCATTCAGCTTTGAACTCATCACTGATGAATATAGTGCTCCCAAGATCCAATCATCTTCTAGAAGCCCCACCTCTGAACACAAGACTTTGGGGAACATTTTATATCCTAACACCAACTAGACAGCTGTGGGGTTCTTCTTCTCATTATATATAATCAGAGTTAAAATTTAAAACAAGCCAGACATGGTGGCACACATCTGAAATCCTAGAATTCTAGTAGGCCGAGGCAGAAGGATTGAAGTTTGAGCCCAGCCTGGGCAATTTAGTAACTTGGAGAGACACTATCTCAAAATAAAAAAGGGAGGCTGGGGATATAGTTCAGTGCAAAGGCTTTGTTCAACTCCCAGTACCATACAAACTCATAAAAAAATTAAAACATTAAAAACCCTCAATGAAAAAGAATTCTAAATATTTGAAATTTTACAAAAATGTAGTTATCTTACCCTAGAAATGTAAGAGTATGTATGGAGGATTCTTTTTTTTTTGGTACTGGGGATCGAACTTGGGTTCTTGTGCTTGTGGGACAGACATTGGAACCACCAAGCTAAATCCCAGCCCTGTGTATAGGATTCTTTGAAAGTAAAAATAAGGGGCTGGGTACAAAGCTCAGCGGCATAGTGCCTCCCTAGAAAGCCCCAAGGTCCTGAGTTCAATCCCTAGTACCACAGAAAAAAAAATGAAACATTAAAAAAAGTTTAAAGAAATATAGTTAACATCCCTGCTTTTAAAAACAAATGAAATTTTAGACCTTTAATAAGGACCTATTTTTAAGTTCATAAGTTTTAGAATAAATATCTGAAATAAATCATAATATATGGTGTGCTTTTATTTAAAAAGTAGTAGAATCCAAGATCTCTAAATTACATATAGAAATACTTGAGAAACCTTTCTAGATTGAATAGAAATTATATTCAAGGGTTGGGGATTTAGCTCAGTGGTACTGCTGCCTGCCTTGCAACCTCAAAGTCCTGAGTTTGATCGCCAGTACCAAAAAAAAAAAAAGAAATTATATTCATTTCATCCAAATATCTATTATGTCTTTATTTTTATCTAATACAGTTGTTATTTTTGATGATTTCAGTATCTTCTATCTACTGAAATTTTTTAAAGGATGTAAGGATTTCTTCCCTTCAACCAAAAATCGGAAATCTTAGATATAAGTTTTAAAAACCAGCACATACCACTGAAAATATGGAGACTATTCCTTGTTAACTATAAATTACCAAGTATTTTAACCTTTGTATAAATAAGACACACAGAAGAAAAAACCCACCATATTTTATTTTAGGTATGGTGTCTAAAATGGAGTAGCACTAAAACAGATGACAATAACAAATCTTTATACTTATTTGAAAATATGTATGCTCTCTCTTTTCTTAAAGATATAAATTATGGATTTTCTACTGGCATTCTTAAATGAAATTAACAAGCATATTTTTTCACCAATTTACCTTATTTCTTCTTTGTGCATGAGACTCTAACAAAACAAAGTCTCTTCTATGACTTCAATAGAACATGTGGAAACCTCTCAAACATATGTTCTTTAGAAAAAATATTCCTACCCCACTATGCATCTTAATGAGCACTTAGATTTTAGAAACTGTTTATGGCCTTGTGCTTAAATTTAATGCATGACCATCAGTCCCAGGGACTGAAGAATCTTACTGGCAACAGATCGAGGGATGACAATATTTCTGATATTCTTAATCTCAAAAATTTAAAACAATTCATTACAGTCTTAGAAAAATCTGGAGATATTTCTATTAAAAAAAACATTCACCACAAACAGACACAAGGGAAACAAATAAGAAAATAGATTATGTTATATCTTTGTAAGCTTCTTCCATTTCAAAATGTATTCCTTGGGGTTAGGAAATTTTTCTATACAAATAAAACTAGGCTTTTGTTCCCTCTTCATAGAAAAATATTTACAATACATGGAACTACAATCTAAAAGTATATACCTGCTTAATATTGCTGGACAGTGATACAGACGAACAAGAACACAAAGGTATTTATTCAATTTTCTGAGCATCATAATTTGTATAGTAGTTATTATACATCAACATGAAAAAATTAGAAAATATTATTAATGAACACAAGCCCTTGTGTAAACCACACAAGATCCCAAAGTATTATACATTCACTGTGGTAAAAACTGTACATATATATTCATCTTTAACATTGCAAAATTTTTTTACCTCTCAAAAAATTAAATTGAAAAAAGTCTTTTTTTTTCTTTTGTCAGAGAAGGATATATAACTAAGAGTCATGGAACTTTTTACAAAATTTCTTGCTTGAGATTTTTCCTGAATATCTTTTACAGATGTCCATATGAGGAAAAATTCACTAAACTTTGAAAGTTTTGAGCAGATATTTTCACATCTTTGCTGGCTAGATCATGATGTGTATAATAATTTTATGTGTAATAATAGTCCACAGCAATGTTAAATACAAAACTTTGTTTTGTAAGTCCGCTTTGGTCTCAGAGTAAAGGTCATTTCTTTCATCCAGCCATGTTGTCCCTTATTTGATCCACTCGAAGTGCTAGGTCCCTAAAGGAGGGGCGCTGGTTTACATTATTGTTCCAGCATTCTGTCATGATCATATAAATCTGTAAAAGAAAAAGTAAACCAAAATTACAATGGACACAAAGTACTATCTTTTAATTGGTGGAAAAGGTGAATTTGGAACTCCTAGTTAATTTTCCTTAAAAAAAGATTATGTATCATACCTGTGCCTTGATCCGGGTCATTTGTTAATGGTATTTGGCTAAAACCTTAGCAATTTCAGTGACCTTAAGATTCTGAATAACAAGAAAAAGATAACACACGATTATGTGGATTAAAAAAATTACCTCAACTGGGCATCCATCTGGTCGTGGTAATCTTCCATTATTCTTTAGGAGTTCTATCAAATGGAACACAATCATCTGTCCTTGTTTGTCATTGCCAATCATACGCATAAACTCCTGAAATACAAACCCACTTTTCAATTATTTTTCTTGTATATTCAATTTGAAACAGAATTCTTTTTCAGCTTCTTCCAGTAAGTAGAAAAAATTCAATATGTATATTTTTGTATATTTTAAAACCTTTTCAAAACAGACTATTAAGCATCAAAACTTGCTTTTCAGTCATACTTCAGATAAGACTATTAAATGTGGAACCTCTATTATGCCATTTCCACAACTGTATTATACTCAACCCAAATTCCTTGAGAAGGTCTAAAAACATATGTATGTTTTCTTATTGTTGCTTTGACACAATCAAACAATTATACTTTTATTCTAATATGAGAACCAGAGATAAAACATAAGTACTCATGAACAGGAATGTCCACTCTGTTCATGGAAGTGTTAAATGACTGAAAAATGGAAAATGACTGTCCAGAAGTATAAAACCCTATGATAGAAAGCAACTCAGTAATTAAAAGTTGTATCTGAGGTAAATGTTTACAGTACAGTAAAATACCCATAATGTAATACTTAATGAGAGGATAGCAAACTGTACAGTATGACCTTAGTTATGTATTTCTTTATAAAATTTTATTTATATTAAAATAAGTAAGCCTCAAAGAAAATAAAGATATTAAAGTGATTGTTTCTAATTGCATTAGAGATTATATTTGTATTTTCATTCTTTCTTATGTTGAAGCACAGGAAAAATTACTTTGAAAGTTTATTTTAACTTGTATAATAATTCCTAGAATGAGTGAGCTCACTGAATTTACTTGAAGTAATATTAAGAGATGCTATGGTTTAAGTGATATTACTTAAAGTAATATTAAGAGATGCTATGGTTTGGATCTTGTTTATCCTCTAAAGGTTTGTATGTTGGAATCCTAGTCCCCAGTGTGGCAGTGTTAAAGTAGGGACTTTCTGAAGTAGGGACTAATGGAAGATAATTAGATCACTGAGGGCACAGCCTTTAATGCTAGTCTCACAATGTCTCATGAGAGCAGATTGTTTTATAGAAAGAGCAAGACTGGCCCCTCCTGGTTCTCTGGCTTCAAATCTTGCTGTGTGATCCCTTCCACACACAAACTGTTCCCTTCTGCCTATGTGCCATGATGAGATATAGCCAAGGGGTCCCTCACTGGAAGCCGAAACGATGTGGCTGCTTGATACTGGACTTTCACACCTGGCCTCCACAACCCTGAGTTACATGAACCTGTTTCTTTATAAAGTACACAGTTCTGAGTACTCTGTTACATCAACAGAAAATTAACTAATATAAGAAAGTATACTAAACAGTGCTCTAACATCCTCCTTTTAAAGCTTTAAGTTACTAAATAAGTTTAGGGTTATTTTGTTGGATATCACCTTACGAATAAGCATCAAGAACTTCTAAAATGAGTTCTAGGCTTATTATTCGTTGAACAAAGCTTTTCTTGTGTAAAAAAAAAATGAAAGAAAATAAAAAGCACACTGACTGCTGGTGGACTTTTACTCTTCTCAATATATGTGAAAAGTTCATACAGAACTACTCCAAAACTCCAAACATCGGAGGCCACAGAAAACTTGCTCTCTGTCAGCGATTCTGGAGCATACCTATAAAACAGAAAGCATTTAAAAGACAGTTACTTCATGTTCCAACTTTTTGGTTTTTTTATATGTTGTTTTGTTTGTTTTTTGAGACAAGGTCTCACTTTGTAGAATAGGCTGGCCCTGAACTCACTATGTAGCCTGGGCTGGCCTCGAACTCATGGCAGTCCTCTTGCCTCAGACTGCACAGTGCTGGTAGTACAGGTGTATGCCACCACTCCTGGCTTCTCCAACTCTTTGATTTTTATCTACAAATCATTGTATTTAAAAAAAAAACAAAATATTTGGGCATGGTGGCACATGCCTGTAATCCCAGCACTTGGGAGGCTGAGGCAGGAGGATCACTATGAGTTTGAGGCCATCTGGGGCTACACAGTGAGTTCAAGCCCAGCTTACACTGCAAAGTGAGGCTGTCTCAAAACGTCAAAATACATAAATATATATTGTGTTTCTCCAAAAGTAAGACTGAATATTACATTAATTTTTGCTTCAAAAGATGCTATAGGCTTATTTTCAGGGGATATCTTGTTTTTTTTCATGTACAACAATCTTCACTTATTCAAATATAGTCATCTGGAATATCACCATAGCTCCAAACACCAAACTCCAGCCTGAATTTCCTATAGAATTACTAGCCCCAATCTCTCATGTTCAGCAATAAGAGTTCTCCTTAAATGAGCACTTCTCGTCCATTTAGCCGGCTCATAGTCCCTTAAATAGTATCATCCACATATATATTAAAATCTCTCAAATATATGCTTATCTTGGGCTGGGGATTTAGCTCAGTGGTTCCGCCGCCTGCCTCACAAGCGCAAGGACCCGAGTTTGATCCCTGGTACCAAAAAAAAAAAGCTTATTTTTTTGTCTTTCTTTAGTGCTCTAGACTAAAGATTTCCACATAAAGATCTATAGGCAAACAGAACTCCATCCCCACCTTTCCAAATCCTGCTGATTATTTTTCTTATGCAATGAGTGGTATCATAATCTATTTACGTGCCTAAGCTAGATTCCTCTTTCACTCCAAAGTCTAATGAGCCACCAGTTTGTTTTACAATATATTCTAAATACATCTCAAATCAGTCTTTGAATGCACTATCCTCTTATGACTAGTACAGAAGTCTTCAAACTAGTGCAGAGTAACCCCAAGGATGCACAAAGGTTGCCAGAAGGATATGTTACAGTAAGAACTGTATAAGGATCCACCACAAGTTCAAATCCCTGTTTTAACAATTTAAAAAAATATTTTAAGTAGAAGCGTTTCCCCTCTAGTACTTAGTATCAATCCATAAGGCATGCTGAACATGTTTATAGCTTAAAACAAATGAGCATTTTGAACAATAAAAGCATTATAGATGACAAAGATGCTTTTAAATGAAATTGGATTATTTTTAGCATTATGTGCTCCTCAATGTGTAGAAACTTTATTGAATCACCAAATTCCCATTGCTTCATTATTTCTCTGCAAGCAAGTTGACTTCCTATGAATTTTTTTCCCATATGCTTATTGGTACATTTTAGGTATACATTATAATCACATTCATGATTGGAAATTTGTACCTGTACATGATGTATCTTGGTTCTTGTTTTTTCCCCTTCCCCTTCCCTCCCTTCCACCCTTCCACCCCTCCCTATTTACAAAAGCTTTGTTCCTGGTTTTTCCTTCTCTTCAAATGGATACACTTCGAGGCCATACTTTTAAGTGAAATAAGTAGGACATACATATATAAATACCGAATGGTTTCTCCTGTGTGAGAAACTGAAAGTGCAAATGAGGACCAAAATTTATAATAGATCATGTGCAATAGGAAGAAAAGGTTCAAAGGGGAAGGGGAAGTGGGAGGGTGGGGGAAAGGAAAAAATATGAGAAAAGAAGGAAACTGAATTTTTAAAAGATACGATGGTGAAACGTGATTTCAGATTTCAGATTTAGTATTTTCTAGGATTTGAATGTGTTCCCCCCAGAATTCATGTGTTGAAATTTAATGATCAACGTAAAAGTATTAAGAAGGAGGCCTTTAAGAGATGATTAGGCCAGGAGAGCTCCTCCCTCATGCATAAACCCCTACAAAAGAGACATCGTCACCCCCTCTTGTCTTTCCACCTTCTTCCATTTGAAGATGCAGTATTCCTCTCCTCCAGAGGATGCACCATCAAGGCACATCAAAGAAGCAGAGGGCCGGGGATTTAGCTCAGTGGTTCCACTGCCTGCCTCGCAAGTGCAAGGTCCCAAGTTTGAAAAAAAAAAAGAAGAAGCAGAGGGCAGACCTCACAAGACAACTGAACTTATCACAAACTCCCAGCCTCCAGGATTGTGGGAAATACATTTTTATGTTTCATAAATTACCCAGTCAATGAAATTTTGTGAGAATAATGGACTAAGACAGTTTATTATTCAATAAATTAGCTAAAACTTAAAACCTATTTTATTAACCTGTGTTCTGGTATATTTACACAAAATCCAGTCAACTTCATTATACTAAATGTTTAATACTTTCTACTTGCTATAAAAATGAAACTTTTTATCAACTGCCTATCTGATTAGTTTTTTACAGTATATAGCTTTTGTTTTCATTAAATACATGTCATTATCATAACTTAATATGAAATTATACAAGATATACATCCTCTAAAGTTTTTCTTTATTACTTTCATGATTTATTATTCCAGATATTCAGGCACAGAAACAAGTCTCCATTGTTATATAATTTGGTGGCTTTCCTTATACAAAGAATACAAAAATGAATATTTAAAATTTAAAAAGAAGAAATCTTGGAAGGAAGAGACTGTGCTTCAATGGCCTCATAATAAATATTCCTCTGCACATGTGTCTACCATTTATTTCTCAGCAATTTTTGTTTTTCTTTTGTTGCTGAGGAATGAATTCAGGCCACATGCATGCTAATATCAGCTTTTTAAAATAATATTTTATAAGATACTTACTTGAATTGAAAAATAAAGTCAGACTGTGAGGCCTGGTGTTGCCATATGGGTTACAGGAAGCACATTCTTCATAAAATCAACTCTGCCTTTAAGGCTACTCAAAGTGTGCTACATTTAAATTATATACATAATAAAAGATGTTATTAAAATATTGTATTGGAATTAAAAATATTGTTTTTCCAAACTCTTCTGAATGTATCAGTTCAAACAAGGCGTTCCATGTGAAAGTGTTACCAACATAATTTAATTGAAAAGCCTTTTTGGTATACTTCCTAGAAACAGAAAATGAATGGCTTTAATGAGGTTAGTAAGTCCAGTTTTGAAAGTCGAGTGGGTTTTATTGCTTTCAATAAAATTAAAAAGGAATGGATCTAATAAAACTGCCAGCTAATAATTTTTCTTGGGGTTTTTTTAGTACTGGGGATCGAACTCGGGACCTTGTGCTTGCGAGGCAGGCAGTGGAACCACTGAGCTAAATCCCCGGCCAAAATAGCATGTTTTTTAACATTGTTAGACATCTTTTTAATGTTTGGTTAAACATGCCATGAGCATCTGGAAAATCCTACTATATATCCATGAAAAAAATGACAATGAAGAGGCAAATAATACCTTAATGTTACTATGAAATATTTGGTACTCTTAGTGGGCATACCAGTGGTGCTCACACTTTAAAAACTGCTACTTTGGTTCCCAGCACCCAGGAGGCGGCTTCCGGGCCACTGTACCACCACCTCCCCTAGCACCACCTCCTCCCCCAGTGCAGAGGAGGTGAGCCGCTCCCAGCATCCAGGAGAGGGCTTCTGGGCCACCATACCACCCCCCTCAGTGCAGAGGAGGTGAGCCGCTCCCAGCACCCAAGAGGTGGCTTCTGGGCTACCGTACCACCTCCCCCCAGTGCAGAGGAGGTGAGCTGTGTGGCACCAGCAACATTCCCCCCTCATCCTCAAAATAAGAAGACACATAAACAAGTCTCAAAACTAGACTTCCAGATCACCTAAAGCAATCCCAAAGGGAAATGAGATGGAACACTGTGATACTCAACCACCTGGACTCCCTGACCTGGCAACAAAAGAGGATCTGGAAAAATAAAATAAGAAATAATTTCTCACATAACAGCAGAGATTGTACCCATAGTGCAAGACATGATTAATAAATCTAGAGAAGACACAGATAAAAAAATAAGAGGAACTGAGCAACATGATGGAACCTCAACCTAGGAAACAAATGCAATCCATAAAACAGATGCAAACAGATTTCCAGGAGATTAAAAACTCCATGGAAAGCTTACGCAGCAGAATGAGCCAATGTGAGGACAGAACTTCAGATATAGAAGATAAGATTATTTTGGTGACCAGGAAAAGAAAAATTCCTTTAAAATAGTAAGGGACCATGAGAAATCAATCCAGCAGCTGTTAGACAATGCAAAGAAGAATAATATAAGACTGATCAGAGTCAATGAAGAAACAGGCGACAATGCAGACGACATAAAAAAAAACTGTTCACAGAAGTGATGGCAGAAAACTTCCCAAACAAGGGGAAAGAACTTGACATACAGATAAGGCATATAAAACTCCAAATAGCCTTGATCAAAAAAAAAAATCTACACATAGGCATATAATAGTTAGGATTCCAGAAACCCAACAGAAGAACAAAATTCTACAAGGAGTGAGAGAAAAGAAACAAATCACATACAAAGGAAAGCCCATCAGAATCACAGCAGACTTCTCAACACAAACCATCAAGGCAAGAAGAGCTTGGAGTGATGTATTTCAAGCCCTAAAGGAAAACAGCCTCCAACCCAGATTGATGTACCCTGCAAAACTATCTTTCAAAATGGATGGAGAAATAAGACACTTTCATGACAAAGAGGACCTTGGGAACTTCATGAATACCAAGCCGGCACTCCAAAAAATTTTAGACAATATGCTAGGAAAAGACATTGAGGATCACGACCCCAGAAAGCCAGCAGAATGAATCCATTGGGCACAACAAGAAACTAAACGCAAAGAGGGAGAATCCAACAAACAGAAAAGGTCATGACAATGGTAAGTCAATTCGTATCAGTT